AAAAGCAAGTGAACCCTGTTTTTGAATTATTAAACGTTGTTGGTTAGAAATCTGGTGGCTATTTTCGTTTCTGACTTTTTCCTGTTTTTTTCACAACTTCTATCTAGCAGAATAATTATTGCTTTATGGTTAGGGAGGTGGTCACAATTTAGTATATGATCTGATGTTCAGATTTGCGATAGAAAACTGAGTTGGGAAATATGTGAATTTAAGAGACGTTTTTATAGTCCTAACCAGCACGCTGTTTCATTTTTTTTCTAATCAATTTGAAGTTGAAACCAAATCTGCGACCAAGTCACTAAAAATATAGTAACTAGGTAGGTGGTAGTATTTAGGTCCATGCCAGACTTGTAGGTTCGCCCCAAAGTACATGATTTACCAATAAAAACACCTGTATAGATCAAACAAGTCTCTATCCAAGGCAAAGAAACTAGTCTGGTGGCCTGGATTTAGTGGCGAATCATTCAGAAAGTAAAAAATGTCACGAGCTGAATGAAGAAAAATAATTACACCTGTAGAGCCGACGATTTTCACTCTTGTGTAGGATTACCTAAGTGATAGGGACTACTTTATTCGATATATCTGGAAAAAAAAAACATGATGTTAGTTATGGCGAGAAGCTCATCTCATCTTGAGGAAAAATATAAAGTGTAAATGACCTCTTTTTTTTAAAAAATATGCAACAGTGGCGAATATTGGGTGATAGATCACTTTAGGTCCCTTCGATTTTCAATATGATTTTGATAGCGTATTTTTGATAGGTATAGCGATATCTAGCTGATAAGAATAGATAGTATTTATTGATCTGTGTCAAAGGTTGAGAAGCGAGAGGATATAAGGCATTAGTGACTAGTGATTTTTTACAATTATTATTATTTTGTTTATTTATTTTGTTTAATTTTAATAGATTTCTATTTTATGGCAAAATCAGCATACTACCTTGGTAAATATTTACAATATTTAATGTTTATGGAGAGGGTTTTTTTGAGGTTTTTTACTGATTTTTGAGTGATGGTGTTAGGCTGGTTTGATATTAATAAAAGTTGGTGTTTTATTGTGTGTGTTAAATTTCAGATTTTCATAACAAACGAGACCAAACTGTCAGACAAGTTCAATTTTGTTTTGTGGTATTCTAAGTGAAGAAGTTATAAATTTGTGTATTTTCTGGCACTTGATAATGAATATTCATACTGTAGAAGACATGTATTTTATTTTCCTATAGTAGGTATGTAGGAATGTATATTTGAATAATATTTTATTTATCGTTAAAATGAACTCATCCATATTTTTTTTTTCTTCATTATGTCCTAATAATTACTCCAATGCAAATTTGAACATAGAAAAATTGTCCGTTTTTAGGGACCTAATGTGTTCTAGACCCATACGAGAAATCATCCTCAAAACTCTTATTTCTAGAAAGTGAGTGAAAAAATTAAGAAAATGAAACTAAATAGCAGGATGAATGTCACGTCAGTGAAATTCAAGCGGACGCTGAGCAATTGATCAAATTTGATGAAGAAGATATGGGAACAAAGGAAACTCACTTGAATTTGGATGAAGAAAATTTCCATCTAGCCCTAGTACCTATTCCATGATCCAAGCATAGACATGAAGTTGGACAAGACTCGACCTCCATTAAAATTTACCCATTTTCAAGATTTGTAGAAGTCTAGGAAAATTGTCGATTTTCAAAAAAAAAAAAATTCCTTCCCAAATGAATTTTTTCAGGGATGATAGGGGGCGGGTGGGTGATCATAAAACCAAAGATATCACACATGCACCCCTCTGGTACCTACTGATTTTCCAAAAAAATGTTTCAAATAAAAGATGTGCAACATTATTTGATCCACAATGTATACCTAGCTAAAGACTTTTTTCATTAAAGACCGTCTGTATTAAGAATTTTTTTTTTGTAAAATAATAAAAACACTTTAAACTACCTACCCTTATTGAAAAAGGGCAGGGGGTGAGTAAAAACTTCATAAAGCAAAAACGTTGTATGTGTTGTAGAAATTTTTTTCACGTTGGTTAAAACTTTTTATTTTCATTATAAATTTCAAACGGTCCTTATGACCACAGACGGCCCTTAATCAAAAAAGTCTTTAGATAAACATTGTAGATCAAATAATGTTGCACATCTTTTATTTGAAACATTTTTTTGTAAAATCAATAGGTACCAAGTAATCGTCAATGGCAACCCCTATAGCGCAAAACGCCAGAGGCGTGCATGTGTGATATCTTCGGTTTTATGATCACCCACCCGCCCTCTAGCATCCCTGAACAGTTCATTTGGGAAGGATTTTTTTTTTTTGCAATGCATGTATTTTTCGACAATTTTCCCAGACTATAGGCATTTAATATCTATAAAGTTATAGTTCGGTAATCATTTTGTTCATTTAGACTTGTTAATGTTTATATAGACTATCTTGAAAAATAGTTGTTGTATTTCAAAGTAAACTAACCTTTACTTAACCTGAAACTATACGACCTGCGGAGGATGTTGGCAGGAAGTTAGCTCAGATCTCAACTAAATCGAGAATTTTACCTTCCAAATATCTCTCGTAGTTTGGTTAATATGAATTTACTCGAGCGTTATCAGCCACCCTGTTCAAGAAGCTTTTTTTTTTCGAAATTTTTTAAATTTTATTTGACTCGAACCACGGCATGCTCTACACTCTACATCATAAGCACACGCATTCGTTAACGAGTACCTATTATGAGTTTCTGCCCAACATCATTATCTGTGGATTCTTTGATGGCCAAATGGTCCTATGGTCACGACTCCTGCCATAAAATTGCAAATCCAGTCATCGGTAGCCGGTTGTCGATGTGGACCATGTCTTATCAAACGTTCTCCTGCTTTTCTACAGGTTTGTTTCATGAGAAGCGCTGGTGGTATTTTCGCAAGCACCTCAGGTATCGTCTGTAGGTGGTCCACGTTTCTAATCCGTAGAAAATTGTTGGTACAACGATGGCATTATGGAACGATAACTTAGTTTTGTAGTAGGTATTTCATATATTTTTAGACGCCCGACGCTCTAAAAAGCAAACAGGATGATTCTGGTTTATTTACCAAGGACTATTTTTGTTTTTTGTGGCATTTTTTTTCTTTTATAAATATAGGTACACAAAAAAAAAAGAGTTTTGCACTATCTCATTCTTTGTATCCAGCGATATTAATTTAAAAATTATCAATAAAAAAATTGTGAACAATTTCAACAAATGTAAACTTTGTAGACACGCAAAATACTTCCAAATCTAGAATCTAGGCATTCGTTTTTATCCGTAAGACTCCGTGCCTCGAATTTTCGAAAATACCCTCACCAGACTAGTATTTTTGAACACAGGGCAACAATTTTTTTAATCAAAAAAAAGTCAATTTTTCAAACTATACGTTAAATTGTGAATATATTTTATGTGTCATAACCTATATCTAAATTCGGAAATAATATTTTTTGTGAAACCTTAAAAATTCACCTTTACGTCATAAAATATACTGGGTTGACTTCTCTAAAAAACTTCGGACACGTCTATTTTTCAATTTTCCGTTTTTTTGCTTTTTGACTCGGTATACTGTTGATTGATCAAGGACGCGTGATTATTTTAGTCTAGCCTCTCAGCTTAGCTACGGTAAAAAAAAAATCATTTTTTGATGTCAAGTATCAAAAGAAAAGGAGGTTTTTCGGACCTCTAGTTCAGGCCCGTCACGCTAGAACTGGGAACGAAACAGTCAGTCTGATGAATAAAGTGTAGCAAATGCTTTTAAGCAGGACGCGCACTGAATCGACTCGGACCAGTCGACTCGGCGAAGAGCAGTCGGCAGTTTTTGAAAATCATGAAATTAAATGAGGCTTCGCGCACAGCATCGTACTAGTCGTCTCGACGCGGTCGACTCGACGCGGTCGACTCGACGCGGCAACAACGGAGATTGCTTCGAGGGGCAAAAACTGCCGAATGCTCTGACAGCCAATAACAATTTTTGTGTAAAATTTAGTGTAGCGACTATATCGTTTGGGACGTTTCGGTTTGTACTGTGAGTTTGTATTCTGTTTCTGAAGCGGTAGTATCTTCAAAACCTCATAAAACTTCCCACTGGATGACTAGACATCCTAAAATATTTAAAAAACTTTTCCTCATCTCCAAGCAAGTCGGGAAATAAATGGTTGAGTTTTACGTGGACTCTCCTTTTTAAATTTATATTATGGATTCAGAATCTTGGCCTCCGCATTTCTCTAGAGCTATCATCAAATCTTCCTCAAAGTCTGAAGAATTCGTAATTTTTATCTTCTTCTGCTACTCTATATTCGACAACTGGCGGACGACTACCGGCAATGCGAATTCAATGCGCGGCCGATGTTGATATTCCGATCGCTCTATTCCGAGTCGACCGGTCTGAGTCGATCCAGTGCGCGTCCTGCTTAACTCTACCTCTGTCTCTTTTTGCTACATTAAAGCCAAATATGTTTATCTCAAAAAACTTAAGTAAAAGCACTTGCTTCTGTGTTATTCATATGGGCCAGTGTCTCCGAGCCGCAACAGTACAATAGAAATGATTCTAATACCAGAACAGGGCGAGTAGATGAATGAGTACGGTGTAGGTCGCTAGGAGTTCAAAATGAAATCTACTATCGACACTAGGGGTTTTGATAAAACAGATAAATAGGACAACCTATATGCTTGTGGCAGTTAGAATGTTACCTGCAAGTAAATAGCACGACCATAGAAGCGCCGACTAATTTGTTGTACCAGCCCAAAAACCGTATAGCGCGGCCACCGGCCACTTATATTCGCTTCACTTCAATTTCATTTACTCAGATTCCTATAATATTGGCAAGTGCCTTCCAGTTTTTTTATAACCGCAAACAACGCACACTAGTGTTACTTGGGTTTGCTTTATTTAATTATTATTATTATTCCATAAGTAATTTTAACCAAAAAACTAATGATTCTAAACGATATTTTTTTAGAAATTTTATTAACAAAATCAGGTAAAATTCAATAATAAATAAATAAATAAATGAATAAATAAATAAATAAATAAATAAATAAATAAATAAATAAATAAATAAATAAATAAATAAATAAATAAATAAATAAATAAATAAATAAATAAATAAATAAATAATTCAATAAATAAATACCTAAATTAATAAATTATTTTAGGAATGGACACAGAAAAATTCACACCTTTTCAAAATTTATTTTGGGCACAGAAAATACAGGCCAAAACAAGCCTCTTGAGAAACTGTCCAAATTTTTGTGTACAATGTACAATGTCGTTATTAGATGAACAGAAAAAATTGTGGCGTTACCATGTAACATACTTGTCGGAAATACTTGAGTAAAGCCAATGGTAAAATTGTACCTATGATTTTTAGATGATTATAGAAAGAAATGTCAACACGAAAGAACTGGGCTTCAATAGCGAACTAAAAACCTTAAAATTGATCTACAGTAGTGTCTCTTCATCAATAATAATGATTCAAACGACTAGAATTTTTTATCAAATATGTTTTAAAATTTGGCAATCAAGTCATAATTATGGAAGCCTTTTTTCCCTACTTTGTCTGTTGTGTTTACCGGTCATCGATTTGAAGCTTCTAAATAACTCGTCATCATCGTCGTCTTCATCCTCATCATCGTCGTTTTCTTTGCTATCGTCATCATCATCGTCGTCATCATCATCGTCGAAACTTTCAGCTACGCCATCTGCAATATCATCAAAAATGCCCTTTCCTTCTTTTTTATCATCGTCATTAGGTAAGCTTGTCGTTGCGTCTGTAATTTTTTCGGTAGACTCCTCACTCTCCCCATCGCTATCCTCCTCACTGCTATCTTCATTACTTTCAGTATTTTTTTCACTACTTTCGTCATCGTTTATTACATCTTCAACAGCTTCAACTAAAGGATCTTCTTCCTCTTCGATTTTATCGTCTGCCTTGATTATTGGTTGAGTAGTAGACTCAATTATTTCATTGGATAAAGTGGGGATGGATGTAGTATCTAAAGGCATTTCAGATGAGAAACTTGCCATTGAAGGTATGGAATCATTTGCTGTGCTCATTTCTGCTGGCATTATATCGGAACTAGTGACATTAATAGCAGACTTAGTAGAGTTATCACTAGCATCCATAGTCAGAATCAAGGTCATGTTTTCATTCTGGGGCAGAACAATAGTATCAGCTGCAACTTCCACCATCATTGGTGAAGTGGCAGGCATCTGAGTAGTTGTTCTGACAGTTGTTTTGGTAGAAGTCTTTACGACAACCCTTCTTGTTGGCTTGGGTTTTTGGGTAATGACTTTTTTTCCCAATGGTTTTGTTGCTACCGCTGGTGGTCTGGTGTATCTTCGTTTGAGTGGTATCTTTTCAGTTGTTGTGCTGGTAGGTTTTCGTCTTTTGTTGCCTAGAATGACAAAGACATATGATTTTTTCATAAAATTGGAATATTAAGGATTTTTTATGCGAAATAATATGTAAATATCTGTGATATAAAATGTAGAGGGTCTGTTCCTTACAATTAGTGCGGCTTCTACAGCTTAAACAAAAAAAAATAATAAAAAAAAGTTAAATACAAAAGTTGTATGGTTTTATGTATATTATTTTTTGCCAATGTCAAAACGGGCAAATGACAGGTTCCAACAGGCATAATGACATTTTTGGCATTTTTTTAAATAAAACACCCTGTATATTTTTGGCAAGAATGATAGATTTTTTTCTTCTGATTCCAAATATACCATACATGTTGATATTTGGTCCAGCTGTTTTCACGCTATTTAAGTTTAAAAATGCATTAATATTACCCTAAATTAGGTCTGTCCCGGTTTCTTACATCAATGATGAGGCTTGCTCAATGCAATTTTAAAATTAAATAGCGCAAAAACAGCTGAACCAAATATCAACATATATGGCATATTTGGAATCATTCTAGCTAAAAATATACAGGGTGTTCCATTTGAAAAAATGCCAAAAATGTCATTACGATAGTTGGCACCTATCATTTGCCCGTTTTGACATTTGCAAAAGATAATAGAGATAAAACCCTACAACTTTCTTATTCAACTTTTTTTCATTTTTTTTTTTGTTCAAGCTGTAGAAGCCGCACTAATTATAAGGAACAGACCCTGTACAAAATGTACGATTAAAAAAATTACCAGATGAAGAAGAGCCTTCTTGGAAATATCCTCCAATGAAGTCATCGTCTAGGACACTGAAAGTTTCATAGTCTGCCGAGTCAACATCATTTTCAGAGTCATCGTCATCATCTTCTTCTTCATCATCATCATCATCATCGTCGAAGTCAAAATCATCATCGTCATCATCGTCATCATCATCGTCATCATCGTCATCATCGTCGTCATCATCGTCTTCTTCAACTACAGGAAGAGGTTGGGGCGGTTCGAGCTTAAGCCCTTCTGGACCAAATCTAAAGCAGGACACTCTCATTGCTGCTTCAATGTTATTCGATGATCGCAATTCTAAACCAAGACAAGCATTAAAGTTTTCTCCTTTACGGCCAATATTGTAAACCCTTCCACAGAATTTTGACACTCCTCCTGGAAGTGGCATGCAGATTGGATCGGCTCGACGACCTAAAAATTTTAAATCAATATTGTAAATTCATCATCAACAAAATACATTTATCTTAATAAATGTTTGCTATAAATAACTAACTTAGCAACTTTTAACGACTTATGTGCGTGAAGATTTTGTATTGTTTGCCTTATTATTACCAGGCGTACAAACAAATATTTATATTTTTTTGTCGTCTTGAATAAACTTACTTGATACAGTCGTATTAGTAAGTACACGTTCTCCAAAACTCATAGATATAGCGAGTTTGTCACCGTCGAGATATTGTAAGGTGGCGCAACCTGGTCCCCTCAAAGCCACTACTGGCAGGTTGAATTCCCGGCAACAATTACAAAGCTTGGTCGAGCAGCTGCAGTATCTATTTGTCGTCGATTCTTGTCTCTTATGCCCGACTTTAGCATTTTTTTTCCCTATCGCACCTTTTTTGACATTTCGCGAATAATTTTTATCTGCAAAAAAAAAAACAAAAGTTGAAATATCTATCGTTCTCAGCAAGCAAGGTTTGTGGATAAGTTGATCAAATTGAATGATAAAAGTTCAAATTTCAACTAGCGAATCTAGCTGTTGATGTCGAAATTCATCTCAACTTCGATTGTACGTCTCCAACAAATCTGTATTCTGAGTTTGCGATTTTGCTTACAGATTTGCCTGAATTTATTTGTGCCACATAAACCATGAAAGGTTTTCGATTACGCTCAAAAATATTATAGAAAAAACATGAAATAAAATATGCTTTTTTTATAGTTCTTCTTTACTGTACCAAAAATTCGCGAACAGTAGCAATATGGAAATTCAGCATATTTTTCCGTCTGTGTACCCAGCTACTTTTAAGTTATTTTACGGTTGCCTCGTTTAAATCATATTTCAGCTCCAAATCCAGTGTCCCAGTTTTTAATACGAGTACGGTACCTATCAAATCATTTGAAGTCGGTACTATAAAGTTGTCTGAAAGTTGATGCAGTTTTGTTGATTTGATTGATGTGTGGACATTCAAAACGAAATCAACATAAATACATCTTGAATAGCAGTAGATTTTCTTTTGCACAAAAGAAGTGTAGTTGTTTACGTCTGGCAGCGCGTCTTTTCTGGGAATGCTATTGTATTTGCTAAACATGTTTTTCTAGGTGGATCCGGAACGCGATTTCGACTATAAATAGCGCGCAGTGAAAAGTTTTAGTTTAAATACGAGATTTTTTGGGTGAAACGTCGTTCATATATAAAGTCAATTTGCTTGATAAAAGTTGTTACTGTTTGTGAAGTGAGTTCAAGTGAAGTAAGATTATTGGCAACATAATTGTTTTTTTTTTTTTTTTTTTTTTTTAATTAAATTAAATTAAAGAACATTATAATAGTTTCAATAAAAAGAAAACAGACTCAAATTATGCAAATCATCTAATAGAATCTAATCATAATTTTAATAATGAATTTCAAATTTTACATAATGAAAACAAAGGGTTAAAATTAAATCTTCTAGAATCTCTAGAAATAAACAAACTTAAAAATTTAGACTGTTTACTGAATGACCAATTAGATTTAAACAATTCACCACTTTTAAATTTATTTATTGTATAATACCTTTTTAGATTAACGTAAAATTAGACCAGCTTTTACCTTATTTATATTTGACAATTTCACTTTTATGTCTACATCTTTCTGATGAAGCTACAGTGTAGCGAAACATGTTAAAGTTTAACAAAAAATTAGTGGAAATAAATAAGTATAATAATTTACTTTAAAAAAAAAATCTTTTACAACATAATTGTTGCTAATATTAAAGAGCTGAATAGTGAAATAATTGGCAAGATAACTATTCGTCTAGTTTGAGCTAATTAGTGGAATAATTTGCAAAACAATTGGTGTATTGATTTGATATAATTAGTGAAAACAATCAGTGAACTTTTATTGTACTGAAATAGCGGACTTTCTGAAAAATTCTATAGAATCCTTTTCGGAAATGGTAAGTGATACAAAAATAGTGACTTTATCACTGGCTTTGAGATCCAAAAACAAGCTCATAAGCGGATTTTATGGAAAATTCTAGAAACTTCTATAAAGTATTATTCAGAAACCGTAAGTGGAACAAAAATAATGACTTTATTACTGGCTCCGACATCGATAAACAAGTCGACACAGTGATTTTTCTCGATCCAACATGTTCTATTTGGAAATTTGATTTCGCCACAGAATTTTGGAAGAGGAAGCTAGAACACAAAAAGAGAAACAAGAAGAAGACCGAAGCTAGAACAGAAACAAGAAAAACAGTACCGGCCTGCAGCGATTCTACAACAAAAAGAAGATCGAAGCCATCAAGAAAAACAAGAAGAAGAATACCGAAGGCAGAAAGATAGGTAAGAAGAGGAAGCCCATAGATAAGTAAAACAAATAAATAAATAAATAAATAAGCTTTTATTTCCAAAAGGTAAAAACCCACTTACAGGAAATTCACTTAGAATAAAAAGTTAAAAAAAAACAAAAACAAATACAAAGTAATACCTAACCTAAAGCATACTTATACTACAACAATGTTATTATAAAGATTATCAATTATTAATAGTCACTATTGAATTTATTATATGATTGATTGAATCGGCATTTGAGTCGTTCGCATGTGAAACAGAATTAAATACATTACTCATAAAGTAGATAAGACTCTGTCTCAACACTAAATCTTGCCGCGCTGAGGTAGAAAGCTGTGGTATGCCTTGAACCAGACCTTGGAACTCGAAACTGCAGACATTAGAGACGGGCAATCAATGTGAATATGAACTAAGTTAGACAAAAATTTAACAGATTGAACTTGTCTTCTGGTAGCTAAGGATGTTTCATTAAACCTTTGTAAGAGTAAGTCATGATCGCAGCCTCTAATAGGATAGATTCCGTCATATCTAAAAGCTAAATACTTCAAAAATCGTCTTTGAATTAATTCAATTGCCATAATATGGCAATTATATATAGGGTTCCAAATGAGAACACCGTAGTCTAGCTTAGGTCAGACAAAAGTGTGATAAAGTAGTTTTATAGTAGCTATGTCTCTGAAATATTCACTGTTTCTTATTACAAAACCAAGAATTCTAGAAGATGCTGAAACTACTTGATTGATATCGGGTATAAAAGTGAGTTTTAAATCAAATAAGATGCCAAGGTTTTTGTGACTAATGTTTTAGCATATAAAATAGGATTAATTTTGCGAGAAAAAGAAATAACATTGCACTTAGACGCATTAAGGGTTAATCTATTCTCCACGCACCAAGATCAAATTTTCCTGCAAATATTCGCAGTCCAAGGGAAGGGTTGGTCTATTCTTTTGAGCAACTTGAAATTATCAGTATACACAAGTTTGTCGCACTTAATAACATTAATTAAATCATGTATAAAACACAAAAATAGCAAGGATCCTAAGTTAGAGCCCTGTGATACACCCGAACCAACGAAAAATGATGACGATCTGAAGTGCTCATACTCCACATACTGGTCGCGACCAATCAGATAAGATTCAAATAAAGCTAACCATCTCTGTGACACTCCAATGTTCTCGAGTTTCAAAAGACAAATAAACTGATCGATTTGGTCGAATGCCTTCTGAAAATCTGTGTAGATACATCAAGCTCACCCCGAGTGTCAAGTTTTTCGCAGGCGATGTGTCACAGTGTGGCCAAATTCGTCATGCATGAGCGAAAATCAAGAAAACCATGTTGACTAGGCGAAAGGACACCTCTGCTCTGATTTGAGGATATATGCTGTTGTAGATGATTATCTCTAATATTTCTGAAAAATTACAAAGAATAGAAATAGGTCTGTAGTTTTTGAATAAGGTACAATCATCTTTCTTCAGTACCTTCCGGAATTATTTTTGCTGTCTTCCATATATCTGGAAACTGACCTTTATCAATCACAAGATTAAAAGTACACAAGCAGCGTCTTTTACAAAGAAGCTAGGAATGTTTTCGACGCGTGAGGTAAATTTATTTTTAAGTTTTTTGCTGGCTTTTAGAACGTCGCCAGTTATATGTTGCTGCAACTGAGCTGTTCAGTTCTAAGATCGTTGATTGGTGCCGAATCAATATAAACCCTGCGAAAATAGTCTGCAAAAGCGTTGACAACGGCCTGAGGTCCGTCGTACTTGCCGCTATCGTCCTTTAAGATGCCAGGAATTCTTGTTTGGACTTTTTTGTCGTTAACAATAGACCAAAATTCAGATGAGTCGGAGCGAATGTTAAGTTCAGCATTACTTATGTACTCCTGGTAAGCAGTATTGGTTGGTGTTTCAATAACTAGCCTAATATGATTAAAATTTATCAAATAGAAGTCGTTTTATGCAACTTGTAATCTCGATAGGCCTTAATTCTCTTTCTTATATATGTTTTTTATTATTTCAATCGAGAACCGGAACAAAACCGGCTTCAGGCAAATTTTAAATTTCAGCGAAAATTGATTGAAACCGTAATCTCTGAGGAACAAACTGGACTCGAGATAATTCTGGAAATGCAAGATGAAAAATTCAGGAATGCAATGGCAGAAGTACCTACGTGAAGAAGTTGGGAGTGTTAATCAGAAAGATGTTCGTCAGGAAGTCGAAATTTTTCGCCAAAACACTATCCATGTGTTCAGAATAAAATTGAAAAATTGGAAAAGGACTTGAGGTCAGGAAAGGTCTCAGCTTCGCCTGCTGCTGGTAATAATTAAAGTTAAGCCACCACCATATAACGGACAGACATTGTGTGATATGTATAGACGTCAATTCGAACTGTTGCAATGGCTAATGGTTGGAGGTCCCGATGACATGACTGCAGGATTGGGATTGATTGTAGCATAACATGGCCCTGCCTCAGACCTATTAGAGACTCTTCCTCAGCTTGTCGATGCGTCAGAACGTCGTTATGCGGAACAACGCCGAAGGGAAGTTTACCAGGTGCAGCTAAGAACAAGACAACAGAGAGCTATGGGAAGCTTACAAGAATTTGAAACCGATATAGTCTAGGAAAATAGTCGAAAAATACATGCGTTGCAAAAAAAAAATTCCTACCCAAATGAACTTTTCAGGGATGATAGGGGGCGGGTGGGTGATCATAAAACCGAAAATATCAAACATTCACCCCTCTGGCGTTTTGCGCTATAGGGGTTGAAAGTGAAAAATTTTAACCAACGTGAAAAATTTTTCTACAACACATACAACATTTTTGCTTTATGTAGTTTTTACTCACCCCCTGCCGTTTTTCAATAGGGGTAGTTTGAAGTTTATTTATTTTTTCACAAAAAAATTTCCTTATAAAAGTTTTATAAGATTACATTTGCTACAATTTTTCCTAATCAACTTTTTTTGTAACTCACCCCCATTCAGCGGGGGGACACTTCCCTTAGGGAAATTTTAGTTTTTAGGGGTATATATTAATTTTTTTTTTCTTTTTTCGCCTTTAGTGCATATAAAAAGGTGCAATTAACATTGTATTAAAAGGATTTTTTTTCCACCACCTTTTTGTTTTTAGGGGTAGTTCGCCTGTTTTCAACTTTACAAAAAAAAGTTATAGAGAAAAGTTGCTTAGAATAATAAAATGAACAAGTTTTCTTAATAATTTTTTTTTGTAAAGTTGAAAATAGGCGAACTACGCCTAAAAACAAAAAGGTGGTGAAAAAAAAAATCCCTTTAATACAATGTCAATTGCAACTTTTTATATGCACTAAAGGCGAGAAAAGAAAAAAAAAAAATAATACATACCCCTAAAAACTAAAATTTCCCCGAGGGAAGTGTCCCCCCGCTGAATGGGAGTGAGTTACAAAAAAAGTTGATTAGGAAAAATTGTAGGAAATTTCATCTTATAAAACTTTTATTAAGAATTTTTCTTTGTAAAAAAATAAAAAAACTTTAAACTACCCCTATTGAAAAACGGCAGGGGGTGAGTAAAAACTTCATAAAGCAAAAATGTTGTATGAGTTGTAGAAAATTTTTTCACGTTGGTTAAAATTTTTCATTTTCATTATAAAATTTCAAACGGCCCTTATGACTACAGACGGCCCTTAATCAAAAAAGTCTTTAGATAAACATTGTAGATCAAATAATGTTGCACATCTTTTATTTGAAACATTTTTTTGTAAAATCAATAGGTACCAAGTAATCGCATATGGCGCACTTTCAACCCTTATAGCGCAAAACGCCAGTGGGGTGAATGTTTGATATTTTCGGTTTTATGATCACCCACCCTCCCCCTATCATCCCTGAAAAGTTCTTTTGGGTAGGACTTTTTTTTTTGAAAATCGACATAAATACAAAAATTTATGTTTTTACTAGGGTTAGAATTTCATTGAAACTTCACTCGGATCAAGGGCGCAATTTCGAGTCACGACTATTTTAAAAACTTTGTTCTCAAGACTAGAACCACGGCATTGCATCCACAATCAGATGGCATGTTTAAGAGATTCAACAAGACAAGACAATCGAGAAACATCTCTCCAAAGCAGTTGACAAGCATCAAGACGATTGGAACGAGCAACAGGTCCGTACATAATACAACAGGAATTACACCAGACAAAGGTTTGTGTAGAACGGATTTATCTGGCATTTTGAGGGCGGAATGTTGATAGTTAGCTGATGAGAATATCGGTGATTTTAATGCCTTCCACCCGTTCGAAAATTTTGAGAAAAAAAATTCATGTACATACATGATGCATTTTAATCTTAAATTGTCAGGCTTTTGAATAAAAGATTGACATTGATAAATAATTCACCCATAAAAAATGCCAGATGCTTTTCAATGGTTGAAAAAGTGGGGATGGGTGTCAACTTACAAAGGGAAAGTATAGAACTTTCCGCATTTACTTTCTGTCTGGCAATCGACAGAATGAAAGGTTTTGTTGTGAGAATAACGCTGAAAATCGACAGACGGTAATCACAGTTCGAAATCCAGCAAATCCGCAAAAAATTCTGTGGACATTTCGAACGGGGAGCAGGCATCAAAACCACTTATATTCTCATCAGTTAACTAGCCACATTCAGCCCTCAAAATGCAAGAGAAAAAAATGACACCACTAAACAGTTCCTATCTCAGGGTCTATTAGAGAAAGGACAGAGTTCGCAAGTGACAGGTTTCCAGGAGAACGATAGAGGTTAGGAAGTTTAGGAAGAAAGGCAACATATTCTAGATAGATCGGGAGTGCGATTTTGACTATGAATAGCGCGTGGTAATAAAATTGAGTTTTAGTTTAAATACGAGATTTATTGTGTACATTTCAATAAGTGATAAGTTAATTTGTTTATTAAAAGTTGTTACTGCTTGTGAAATGAGTTCTAGTCAACCCAAAATCCATGACACATAAAAATACTTAACTAAATACTAGGTAGGCACTGAACGAACTAATAGCCCCATACTAAAAAATATTCACAAACTAATTTTCATTCTCTGTTTATAGGAATAAATTATAACAATAAAATTCAATGAAAAAAGTCAAACAGATCGTATCTGCTTGTACCTCTGAATTTCAGAATTGCCATAACACGCTTCACGAAATTACGAAAAACTGAAAATACCACTGCATGAGCCGTGATATAGTAATAATTATTTTTATTATTTGCAGGAAGAAAGTTTGCCATGAATAATGTCTGATTATTACTTGAAATTTATTCTGCGGATGGTTATACTTAGAAAAATTCATTCTTACTTCCTGCAAAAATTTTTATTCGTCTATTCTACCTCCGGTTTATTTATCTTCTGATAAACTTGCTGGTAACTGTCTACAAGACAAATATATGAAACTAGCATCCGGCCAATCAATAGGATACTAGATTACAGTTTGATCCGTCAGGTTGCTTTACCTGACAGCTTATCAGAGGGTGAGTGGACCGGGCATAAATGAAACATATTCGACGTAATTTACATATGATTCGCGAAATTTTGAACAAGTTTATCTACAATTCTATTTTTTAATGACTGGATTATTTACAGTGGTTTAATATCCATATATACGAGAAGTCTGCTTTAATTTGTCAGAAAAAGACGTTTTAAAAAATATGTTACCAATAATTATGCAAGTAAATTAAACAATTTAGCGGTGCCCCTTGAGCCTTTAATTAAATTATGAAGCTTGAAATAAAACAGGCATTATAACTCTGGGAGAAAAGAAACAGTTTTTTTTTTTTTTAATATAATGGCAATGTTTTATAGTTTGTATCTAAACCCCACCTTAAGATATGTAGGTGTAGGTATGTATAGGTACCTACGAAATTGCTTTTCGCTTTCATGTAGAATGTAGACACTATAATAAATATTTTACAAAAATTACGGATGCTTGTTTCAAGTTCCAAAGAAAGGGTGATCCGTAATTTCATTTATTAAATAAAAATATTTTTTCATCTCAAAAATAAGCAATTCTAACCCTTAACTGTTCGCTACTTAGGTAAATAAAAATGTCTTTTCATAATCCGGATGAATGTTGCTACCTTTAAAGTAATGTGGAATCCTTAGTAACTTCAAATACTGATTTATTAACACATAAAATATTAGATATAATGTATCACAATAAAATAAAAAAGCATTCCATTATAAAAAATTAAAAAATTATGACAACCAAACAAACTTCATTTTCTAGAATCCTTTCGCTAAACGGATATTAGTCTAGGAAAATTGTCGATTTTCAAAAAAAAAAATCCTACCCAAAAGAACTTTTCAGGGATGATAGGGGGAGGGTGGGCGATCATAAAACCGAAAATATCAAACATTCACCCCTCTGGCGTTTTGCGCTATAGGGGTTGAAAGTGCGCCATTGGCGATTACTTGGTACCTATTGATTTTATAAAAAAATGTTTTAAATAAAATATGTGCAACATTATTTGATCTACAATGTTTATCTAAAGACTTTTTTGATTAAGGGCCGTCTGTGGTCATAAGGGCCGTTTGAAATTTTATAATGGAAATGAAAAATTTTAACCAACGTGAAAAAAATTTCTACAACTCATACAACATTTTTGCTTTATGAAGTTTTTACTCACTCCCTGCCGTTTTTCAATAGGGGTAGTTTAAAGTTTTTTTATTTTTTTACAAAAAATTTTTCTTATTAAAAGTTTCATAAGATGACATTTCCTACAATTTTTCCTTATCAACTTTTTTTTTAACTCACCCCCATTCAGCGGGGGGACACTTCCCTCGGGAAAATTTTAGTTTTTAGGGGTTTTATTAATTTTTGTTTTCTTTTCTCGCCTTTAGTGCATATAAAAAGTTGCAATTAACATTGTATTAAAAGGATTTTTTTTCACCACCTTTTTGTTTTTAGGGGTAGTTCGCCTATTTCCAACTTTACAAAAAAAAATTACTAAGAAAACTTGTTCATTTTATTATTTTGAGCAACTTTTTTCTATAACTTTTTTTTGTAAAGTTGAAAATAGGCGAACTACCCCTAAAAACAAAAAGGTGGTGAAAAAAAAATCCTTTTAATACAATGTTAATTGCAACTTTTTATATGCACTAAAGGCGGGAAAAGAAACAAAAAATTAATATATACCCCTAAAAACTAAAATTTCCCCGAGGGAAGTGTCCCCCCGCTGAATGGGGGTGGTTACAAAAAAAGTTGATAAGGAAAAATTGTAGGAAATGTCATCTTATAAAACTTTTATTA